AGGCTCCGCGACAGGGTCTGTGTCAGGTTCCGTGTCCGACTCCAAGTTAAGCTCGTGGGTTCCTTGGCCAGGGGGCCCAGTTCGCGAACGGGTGCGCGAGGACATGCTATCCAGCGCAAAGATTGAAGAAGGGCGGTCGGTCGATCGAAGTTTTCAATCGCTACCATGTCAGGCTCCAGCACGTCTGGAGGCCGTCTTTGGGTTGCGAGGAAGCGCGTAGGTTTGAGGAAGCGTTTTGAGAGAGGTTTGAGAGACGTCCGTCGGAGCGGAGCGAAAGCTTTGGTGGTGTCTTGAGGTCAATTGAACCAGCTGCGGTCGGCAAGCATTCACAGTGACCAGACCAGGTGCACCGTTAGAATAGCTGTAGAGTCGCTCAATCCCGAGGATAGGGAAAGTCACAAGAGAGCAGAGCACACAGGAGAGCAAGGGGAAGACAGAATGGCAGAGGGCTTGACGTACCTGCGGTCGGCAAGCATTCACAGTGACCAGACCAGGTGCACCGTTAGAATAGCTGTAGAGTCGCTCAATCCCGAGGATAGGGAAAGTGCAACTCGTGCCCGACCGCAGGTGTCACAACAAAGGGAAACAACAGTAGCCACAAGCTTATTGCCCCAGGGCAGCTGCCCAGGCATCGTGGGGACCGCGTCACACGCGGTGTTTACTCATGTGACTGCCACGAGGAGGATCAAGCCCAGGGGGTCCAAAAGTAGGTGTCAATGTGTGAGGTCGTCGTAGCTATGGAATACCAATAGGAAGACCCATAGCGACCGATGCTGAGTGTGTGCGAAAGCAGTGGGAGTGTTCAAATGCGTGGAAGCACGGATTTGACGCTAACAGGGTTTTAATCATGACACTACAATGAACTGATGACAGCCGTCGCTTTGGCGCAAAATGGGCCGGAAAATAAGCACAAGGGTCAGGAATACTTGGAAAAGGGGAGGGCCAGGTTGGCACATTAACGTCGAGGACTGCCCGTGGCCTTGCCAAGCCCAGCAACATTGTCTAGCGGCAAAAGCGAGCACCTCTGACACAGCGTGGCAGCGTCATCCAGCTGCAGCTCTTCCAACGCAGCCACCAGCTGCTGACGAGCCTCATCGTCCTGCAAAAACTTCTCCATGACACGTGCCAAGGCAAAGCCATCGTGCTCCTTCTGCATTGGCAAATTCCGCCGGGCAGATGGGTGACGAAAAGGCTCCAGCGGCTTTCCTTCCCTGGCAAAATTGGAGGCATAGACGGGGTTGTGGGCAGGATTAGCAGCAAGAAACCGGCCGAGATCAAAGTCGATGAGAAAGGCCGCAGGATGCCCTTCCCAGTCGCTGCAAAAAAGAATGTTGCGAGGAAGAATGTCGCCGTGCACAAAGTCAACGCTATGGATGGCCTTCAGTTGGTAGATGACCTGGACCAGTTGCTCAATCTCGACGGTGTCTGCCGGCTTCACGTAAGGGTAGCTGAGCACATCCACGGCAGTTGCAAGCCTCGCCACCTCCCACTTCTGATAGAACGAGCCCGTCACATCCAGTGACTGAGTTTTGTCAA